CACATATATGTTATTATTTTTTATTTATATTTTTAAGGCATATTTTAAGTCTTCATACCTTAAATTTTCTTTCTGGTTTTTTTAAGGTAAAAATCACCAAACATCACACATTTTTAAGTGATAATGGCTGAGTGGTATTTAGCACATTCATGGTGTGGGCAAACCATCACTTCTCTCTAGGTCCAGAACAGTTTCCTTGCCATTTACCCATTCAGTAGTTACTTTCTCTTCCCAGTAGGCTCCAGGGTTTCTTTACATTACAAGTAAACAGAATACACTACGTGGCTGTTCCATCTTCCTCCACTTAGCACATCTTTTCACAGTCCACTCACTGTTGCAACATGTATCAGTACATCTTTCTTCTATGGTCAGATAATATGTACCACATATATGTTATTTTTAATTACATCAATGTGCCCCTCTGAAACACTGTGGTGATTTTATAAACAATCACAGTTGATTCTCACACCTCAGGAGGTAGCAATGTTTATTCTTCTCTCTCTCTCTCTCTTTAAAAAAAAAAGAACAGGCCTTGGAATGAGGCTTAGTGAATTGTACACTCTACCAATGAGCTGAATCCATAGCTCCAAAAAAGTAAAAATTGGATAATGTCATTAGCTATTTATTCTTTATTTGTAGTTGTAATCCCAGAATAATATGTGTCAATTGCTTTATGCTTTGTTTATATCACATTTAAATACGAATCTCAAATTGTGATAAGTCTCCTAATGTTGTTTTAATGTATGTATTCTTTGGTATGTAGAAATACATAATCATAAGGTTAAGTATATTTATGTGTCTCTTCAAAACTGAGAAATTTTATTTAAGGCATAATTCTAGAAATAGCTTGCAGCAAAGTTGGCTTCCCACTGATACAATAAAATTACTAGATAGAGTCACATTTAGGACCAATTTAAACTGTCCCAATCCGAGTCTATCTCTAACATAGGGACAGTCCAGTGTGACCAGATGCCCTTCTTTCTGCCCTGGCATTTCAACAGTCCCTCCGTTTGCTTACTCACGCATAAATACATATACCAGTGGACCAAACCATGATACCGTTAATGCATGACATGAAACATGGTTAAACAGTAGCAACTCTACTGAACCACTGTGTAGCTTTTTTTTTTTTTTTTTTCAAAACAGGATTTCTCTGTGTAACAGCCTGGAACTTGCTCTGTAGACCAGGCTGGCCTTGAACTCACAGAGATCTGCCTGTCTCTTCCTTCTGAGTGTTGGGATTAAAGGCATGAACCACCACTGCCCAGCCATGTTTATCTTCTTTATGGTAGGTTCAGAGGAATTTCTGAAGTGTCTTCCTGGTACGAATGTATTAGTATGGTACAAATGTATGAGATTTTATCAAATAGTCTCGTGTATGAAATGTGATTGTCCTTGGCCAGTTCTCAGGTGAGAGATTGCTGGAATAACGAATGTATGGCGGGTTAATATAACGAGAAAAAAACTGAAGAGGCAATATTTATTTTAAAACTCTTAGTGGTCCCACCCCAGTGGTAGTCTTTATGGCTTCTTGTATTTCTCACAGTCTATGGAAAGGTCTCATGAACTGTAGGCAGGCATCACTAAAGGTCAGGACAATTGTAGAGAAATATGCCTTTTCTTTATCGTATGACCACCACAGAGTGTACTTCTGAAACCTACATGGAGGAGGCTGGAGATTGTACAGGGCCTTTTGATATATATGATGGAGATGTAGTTAACTGGCAGTGGGTTGAGGCACCAGCTGTCACCACCATCACCACAATCAGCCCATTTTTTTACAAGTGGAATTATGCTTTAAATAACAATGGATAGTGTATTATAGCAAATACACGCACCAAACCCAGTTGCTTACTGTCTTTAACAAATGTTAAGAACTGGGCTACAGAGACAGCTCAGCATTTAGGAGAACATTCTGCTACTACAGAGGCCCTAAGTTTGGTTCCCATCACCTACTGAGGCAGCTTGCACTCATCTACAACTCCAGCTTGAGGGGCATCTGATAGCTCAGATCTCAGCAAGCTCCTGCCCTCACATATACAGAGATACATACATATACATAATTAGACATCATTTTAAAAATCAATCTTTTCAAAAGCCGTAGGGGGACTGGAGAGATGACTCAGTAGTTAAGAGCGTTTGTTGCTCTTGCAGAGGATACAGGTTCAGCGCCCAGCACCCACATGGTGACTCATGACTGTCTGTAATTCCAGTTCCAGAGGATCTGATACCCTCTTCTGGCCACCCAACTTCACGCAACACACGCCCACCTTGTGATGGACGGTCCCCTCCAGTCCTCTGCTTTCTGTGCTCTGTTTACAATCCATATCACCTATGCTGGGGACCAGAGTATCCTCATCTTTGTGCTTCAGCCTGCTGTTTGTTCTACACTACAACCAAAGGCAGCAAGGTCTAACAAAACCAGCTTTAGCATATTTTTATTCTATGTCGATGAGTGTCCTGTATGTGTGTCTGTTTGCCGTACGTGTACCTGGTGCCCAGGGAGGCCAAAGAAAGAGCCAAAGAGCGTACTGGTTTCCCCAGAACTGAAGATACAGATCTTTGTGGTCACATGAAGCTGCTGGGTCCACTGGAAGGGCAGCCTCTAATTTTAACTGCCTACCTTTATCTCAAGACCCTACCAAACTAGTTTTGCAAGATTTAAAAACAAGAACAACAAGTGTACTTTAGTTTTTTATGTGTTTTGCCTATGAATGTATGCACGTGGATGTGCTATGCAGTCTTTGTGAAGGAGAGGGACGTGCTGATTAGGTCCAGCCAACATCGGATAGATGCTCTTCTGTCTTAGCAGCATGGAAAAGGGGACAGAGCAAAGAACCAGACAGTGAAATTCAGTGACTCCCATGCCACTTGTGGCTTGAATAGAAACAGAGGACTTATTGGAAGCAGCACTCCCAAAGCCTGGCCTCAGCTCCACATAGTTACACAACTCCTCAAACTGTTACATAACATAGCAAAGAACAGACTGTGCTCAGAAAACTTCCAGAAATGTTCTTGCAAAGTTACATGGTGCAGAGCTATAACATTTTAATGATGGTTCAGTTTATTTTTCTATCAATTTAATTTGTTCTTTGAGAATTTTATACAGGTGTACATTGCATTTTGTTTGCTTTCAGTTCTTTCCTTTCGATCCTTTCTCCATCCCCTCCTCCTACAAGTCCCTTTCTTCCTCCCACAACGACATTTCCACACTCCTGCGGTTTTTTTTGTTTTTGTTTTTGTTTTGTTTTGTGAGCTGCTGATTTTATCCAGGACCAGCAGTGTGGCTATGGGTTTGGAATTGTCCATTGGAACCTGGTGTGCTCACTGTTATGAGCTTCATACACAACTGAAGACAAATACTGTCCCTCCTCAGAATCCATCTGTTGTGAGTCCCTTTCCTAAGACAAGATTAGCTGCTGTCAGGCCCAATTTTGTGCCAGCCCAGTGGAGGCAAATGCAGCTGCTGCAAGATCATGTTTCAAATGCAGTTTTTAATGAAATATATTTCTAGACAACCAGGAGGGATTTCTAAAAAGAAAGATATGATACCATGTTTTAAGTATCTGTATTCTTAAATGTGTGATTCAAAGTTTAATTTAATTTTTTTTTAATTTTTTTATTTTTCGAGACAGGGTTTCTCGGTAGCTTTTTTTTTTTTTTTTTTTTTTTTTTTTTTTTTTTTTGGTTCCTGTCCTGGAACTAGTTCTTGTAGACCAGGCTGGCCTTGAACTCACAAAGATCTGCCTCCTTTTGCCTCCCGAGTGCTAGAATTAAAGGCATATACCACCATGTGGAATGGAGTTTTGAAGTAAAGTCCTGCTATATTTTTATGAATCAAGATGTGTGAACCCAGCAAACGGAGTTTAACAGCACACAGGAAGCTGATGCCCAGTTCTAAATTTCTCACGTAAGAGTGTATCTTAGCTCCGTTGATTGCTGCTGTGATAAAATGCCCCGACTAAAGCAGTTTAAGAGAGGAGAGGTTTGTTCGGCTCTCAGTTACAGGTTGCAGTCCATCACTGTGAGGTCCTCACCCAGGAGCCTGAAGCAGCTGGTCACAGAAAGTCAAGAGCAGAGACAGGACTCCTCCAATGTTTACTACTCAGCCCATCTTCTCTACTCCGAAATGCACTCCAGAACCCAACCCCAGGGAATGGTGTCACCACAGTGGTCTGGGTCTTCACATAACAATTAACACAGGGCAAACAAATCTCCACGGACATGCCCATGTTTAGACAACCTGTTTAGACAGTCTCTTGAGACTCTCTCCCAGGTGACTATTGACTGTGTTGAGTTAATAATTAAAACTTACCATTAGGGATGGAGAAATGGCTCAACATTTAAGAGCACTTGCTGCTCTTGCAGAGGACATGGATTCAATTCCCAATACCCACATGGCACCTCACAAACATGTGTAACTCTGATTCCAGGGAATCTGATACCCTCACCATTTTCTGGCCTCTGAGTACCAGGCACACACATGGTACATATACATGCATATAGGTATAATATTCACACACATAAATCAAAATAAATAAATTATAAACAAACATACAAATAAAACCAAACTCTAATCCTCTTAAATGACCAAATAAAACTGAAGGGTTTTCAGAGAAATAGCTAATAAAAACTAAAATTTTTATTATTAAAATAATAATAAAATCCCAGACAGGTATTGTGACACACATCCTTAATCCTAGTACTCTGGAGGCAGAGAGGGGCATTTCTCTGCGAGTTTGAGGTCAGCCTGGTGTACATAGCAAGTTCCAGTACGGCAAAGGTTACAAAGCGAGGCACTGTCTCAAAACAAATGAATAAACAAGTAAGACCAAAATAAAAATAAGTCTCTAAGAAGAAAATAAAACATCGTCACTCCGGGTACTCTAGAATTACAGCCATGACTCTGTAAACCTAAGAACATCAAGTGACATTTCTAAACTTGACTCTTTGATAGATAATATGAAAGATGCCGGAACTATAAAACAAGCCACATAATCTTCATTTTTGTATTAATTTTTTTATTACAGGAAAGAGTTATGTCAGGAAATTAGAAAAGCAATCCCACAGCCTACCCTAAGTAAAAGACTTTTCTTTAAACTGTGTCCTGGAGCCCACTGTTTCACTAATACGCATACGTGAGAGAGCTCATTGTCTCAGTCTTCAGGATCAGGATGTAGGTGTAGTGCAGGGTCCATGTCTCTTCATTAAAACTTGAAAATCTTTCTTGTTTTTAGTATGCTTTTCTCATCAACGGGAGGCTGCCTCTGGCTGCCAGGCTGCAGAAACTTCTTTATGGTGGGCATGTCACTGATTCGGGTTTTCAGAGCCTGCAGAGAAAATTAATTAATTAATTAATTAATCAAACCATAGCCTTATGGAGAAGCCCAAAGACAAAGGCAGCCTGTAGCACAGCCTAGGGAATCTGAGTTCCTCCACCAGCTTGAGTGTGGCAGCTACAGATAGGCAAAGACAATGAAAATAAGACGAAAAGGCAAAACACTTTACATGAAGCCCACTAGCACTTTGAATGGTTTGTTAAGGCTTTACTGAGTTCCGTCACCCTTACAGTCTTTCTTACACCCTACCCTTGTAGTTCATGACTCTGGAAGAATTCAAGGAAGAAAACCAGTCTGTCATATATCTACTCAGGGAAAGCTGAGCTGGAACCAAGGACAGGAAATACTGTAAATATTAACAAATTAAAAAATAGCTTACTGTGTCATCTGATATGGTACTCTCACAGGAGAAATTGAAGAAAGTAAGTGGATACTTAGGGACTGACGATACACCCTTGAATGAAGAGTGTCATGAAAGATAACAGGGGGGAGCCAGGCAGTGGTGGCATATGCCTTAAATCCCAGCACTCAGGAGGCAGAGGCAGGAGGATCTCTCTGAGTTCAAGGCCAGCCTCATCTACAAGAATTAGTTGCAAGACAGGCTCCAAAGCTACAGAGAAACCCTCTCTAGAAAAACAGCAACAAAAAACAAAACAAAACAAACAAACAAGAAGGATACCAGGGAAGAAATTGCTAAATTTCTCAAATCACAGGCGAATGAAAGCACAACTGAACAGAACCTTTGTGACAGAGCCAAGACAGCTTTAGGAGGAAAGTTACTGCTACCAGTGTATACATTAGCCAGTCAGAGAGTTCTCAAATAAATAACCGAATTATGTACCTCACCGTTTTAAAAAAAGACAAGAGCAAGCCAAGTTCAAAAGCAATAGGAAGCAATAAATATCAGAGCATAAATGAATGGAATCCAAATTAAGAGAATAATAAATACATCATCGGCATGGGATTTAGGTTAGTTGGCAGTGCTTGTTTAGCATGTACAAAACTCGGGATTCAATCCCCAACACTGAACAAATGAGGTGCACCAGCACATACCTGTAATCCTAGCACTGGGAAGGTAATGATAGGGGGGTGTGAAGTTGAAGGCTATCTCTAGCTACACAGTGGGTTTGAGGCATTCTCAGGTATTTGAAATCCCATCACAGAACAACAAAATAAATAAGCAATACACATAGACTCTGGCAAATAGAGAGTTGGTTTAAAAAATATGAACACAATTGAAAACTTCTAACAAATCTAACAAAAAGGGAAAGAGAAGCCCCAAATCAAGAGCATTAGAGATAAAAACAGGGATAGTATAATGGATTAGAATGAAATTACAATGATCATTAAGAATATTTTGAAAAGATATGCCATAGATGAATAACTAGACATGTTATCTACCAAAATCAAATCAAAGAATTGATTAAACAATTCTCAAAAAGCAAAGATAATTTAGAATCTCCCTACAAAGCAATCCCAGGACTGCATGAATACCACTGCTGAATCCTACCATACCTTTAAAGATGGCTTAACACTAATGCTTCACAGAACGACAGAAATAGAAGGTGAGAGACATTACAACACGAACCATATAAATTCAGTCAGTGTTACATTTCAATAGTAGACACTCCTCTACTGCTGAGATAAAACACCATGATCAAAACAGCTTATAGGGGAAAGAGTTTATTTTGGCTTGTGGTTCCAGATCCATAAGAGTCTATCATGGTGGGAGGCATACACTAGGCGGTAGGCGTGGTGACCGAAGCAGGGCGCTGAGAGCTCACATCTTCAACCCCAAGAATGGAGAGGGAGAGCAAACTGGATGTGGGGTGGGACTATAAATGCCCAAAGGGCACTCACTCCCCAGTGACATATTTCCCCCAGCAAGGCCACACCTCTTATACTTCCCCAAATAGTCCCACCAACTGAGAACCGATTTTTCAGATATCTGAGGGAGCTATTTTCATTTAGAGTGCTATACTCATCTCAAAAACAGATTAAGGACAACACCAAAAACCGAACAAGCAAATGAATGAAGAAACTGCCCATAACTCCTGCAGTACAATTTCTCAATAGACACAGACAAAAAAAAAATTGTCAATAAATGTTGATGGTGGTATAACAAAGCATTTGGTGTGATTCTCACACCATTTTGCTAGTACAGCCTACCATGAGGCCAGACGACAGGAACTACATTGGCTATGAGTCTGTGAATGGGTGCATGGGAGGTATTTGTAAAATGCACGAGCATCTGAAAAGAATGAATTTCACAGTCCCTCCACACATATATTGGTCAGTTGTTTGATTTTATTGATGGTCTGGCAGATGGGCTGTCTTGTCTACTGATCTGATGGACAGACATAGCAGTTTCATAACCAAGACTGTATCAAAGGGAGTATCTATGTCCCGTTGTTGGCAGACCCAACAGGCTGGGAAGTAATTGAGCTGGAAGAGTTAAGGGGTACACCAGCGATTGGAACAGGTGCATACAGCCTGCTGTGGTGAATATTTTGTAAGATAGTTAGCCTATTTATATCTAAGCTAGCTAAGATCAGATGTATGACATGAAATGTGAGTGGTCTTTTCAATCTGAAACCACCATTGTCCATTTGCTTGCCCTCCCTCTTTCCCTCCCTCCTTCCCTCCCTCTCTCCTTCCCTCCCTCCCTTCCTTTATACGTAAACATTTTTATAATTAAATAGACAGTGTTCTTTGTCACTCAAGGTTCCACTCCTTGAAACTGTTCGTACTACTTCATGGTATTCGAGCTCACTAGCTCTTTGTGGGCGGTATGGGAGTAAAGGTGATGACAGGTTTGTCATGTCCTCTAGGGAAGTCTTAGTGAAACACAGAAATGTTCTGAAGCTGTATTTTTTTTTAAAAAAAAGTCAAATCCAAATCTAATTTAAGAACACATTAAGATCATACACTCTGTTTCTTTCTGGAGATGCAAAGTCGGTTTAATATATACAAATCGATAAATACAAAGCTACAATGTGGGACAGTTACAGTGGACTTTTGTTCATCCTTAACAGATGAAATGATGACATTTGAGGGAGAATGAATGGAACTGGAGATCTCTGTGTTAAACAAAATAAACTAGGCTGAAGAGGACAAAAGAATATGTCTCACTCATATGCAGAAAACAGATTTAAATACACGGATGTCAATGTGTTTTAGATGCGTGACATGAATGTAGAAAATGTATTGTGGGGGAGTTAAAGGGAGAGGAAGAGCTGGCAGTGTGACTCACGCCTTTAATCCCCGCATTTGGGAGGCAGCAACAGAGCAGTTACACAGAGAAATACTGTCTCGAAAAACACAAAAAAACAAAAAGGATGAGGATGATGATGAGGAGGAACTTCACATCTATTTGGCTGAGCAATGATGGCATATGCCTTTAATACCAGCACTTGGGAGGTAGAGGCAGGCCAATCTCAGTGAATTTGAGGCAAGCCTGGTCTACCAGGTGAGTTCCAAAACAGCCAGGAGTGTATCTTGTCCCGAAAGACCAAAAATGGAAAAAAATAAAACAGAATCCCTAAAACTAAAAATGAATGAATGAATGAATAAAGGAGAGGATAAATGAGAGTAGTGGAATATATTAAGGAACACAAAAGTGAAATTATTTCAGGTGGTAAGGGGTCTAGTCAGAGGCAGGAGACGGGATGGGACAGTCCTAATAGAACCCATTTCTTTGAAAAGAAAAAAAGAATATAAACATTACACCAATCAAGTGTCAATAATAACCACACTTTTACACTGAGATAAAGACAGTTTTGATGTGCAGGTGTGTGCATGCACGTGTGTGGGTGTCTATACCAGAGGAAAATCAATATTTGACAAGTAGGGGTGAAAGCTGAGATCAGACAGAAAGAGATCAGCTCTGATGAGCTCTGCAAAGACAAAGTCCCACCTAGGATGCTGATGTCCCAGAGACCAAGAAAAAAAAGGTGTCGATGGGATAAGAGGGTGGATGGGACAGAGCTGCTGAGTCCTCTGGGATAGCATCCAATTGCTTTTCTTACAGAACAAGATTTTCTGAAAGCCTAAGAACAATGCCCGTAAGTTCATTTTTGAGTCCAAGGGATAAGGGTGCAGGTTAGAGATCACATGCTACCTGTCTGAGCCAAAACATCAGATCCCTGGCGGGGAAGTATAAGACAGCTCACCTGAAGCAGGGGGAAGTTGGCTATAATGTTGGGATCCAGCTCTTCCATGTTGTAGATCATTTCAACCAGGTGAATATCAGCCTTGCTCAGCTTGTTGCCAACGAGGTAGTCCTGTCCGTGGCTCTTTAACACCTAGAGAATTCAAGAGAAGACATCCTGAACCCACAGAACCAGAATGGGGCCCCCTTCCTCCTCCTGTTGAGACCCTAACCCTAAGCATCATTCTGTTAGTAGACAGGCGCTCTGGGGTTCAAATTAGTAACTAAGCAGGAGACCCTGAAGAATGGCACCAACTCCCTTATAAAAGGATGCGGGGGGTTCCTTAACCCATTGGCTCGTCGAGGACGCTTCTAGAGGTTGGCTCCCCATGAAACAGGAATCAGGCTTTCATCTGCACTGCATCTGCCAGCACTTTGATCTCCTTTCCAGTCTCCAGAATAGTTAAAACATAGCAGTGGTTGCACAACTCACACAGTGCATGACTTCTTTGCTGTGGCAATAGCTAGACCACACTCTGGTACAAGGTTTGGGGTCACATATCAAATATTTATAATACAATTCATAACAGTAGCAAAATAAGGGTAGCAAAGGAAATAATTCTTTGGTTGGGGGTCACCACAACATCAAGAACTGTATTAAAGGGTCCACGCCTTGGGAGGGTTGAGAACCCCTGCTCTAAACTCTTTTTATAGAGCCCTGTAAGTCTTTTGTAATGCCATTCATCTAACGCATGCTGTTCAACAGCCTAGCCCGAGTTCTGTCTCAGCCTCCTGAGTGCTGGGCTTACAGGTATAAGGCATCGCGTCCCCACCAGTATCATTGGTCTTGAAGTACAAACAGCTTCTGCAAACCTTTTCAAAGGCAGGAAAGTAACGGTTTGTTGCTTTCTCTTTCATCAGGGCAATATTTGCTTCTTTGACCCCAGGTGGGTCGAATGGGTAGAGAATAAACATCTCATTCAAATCTGCTAAACCTTCCGAATACATGTCAATCCTGAAAGACCAGAACAACACAACTGTCCACCACATCCTGCCTGACATTTTTCAGTTTGAAAATCTTAGAGAACAGAGCATCGGTAGATACCACCCCCACCTCCTGCCCCTTCCTCTCGGGCTGTGTCAGACATTAGTTTTGACTTTTACTTATAGTTTTAGTTTCTTAGAGAAATCTGTAAGGAACACACGTGCCTAAAACCTTTTTGTACATGTGGCCAAGTATACCTAGGAGCTTTGGGGACTTCTCCAGAGTCCCTTCTGTCCTCTATGAGGAGAGACCTTGGTAGGACTCATGCATCTACAAATGGATTCCCTCATCTGCTTTGGTTTTTTCTGTGAACAGGGTATGGGTATCAGCAGTAAAACCTGAGAGCTTGCCAGTCCCTGGGAGAACTCAGGTGCTCCTTGGTGCCTTTCCTACCACACAGTCTGCCTTCTTTAAATGTTACAAGTTCTCTCAGTCACTTTATAGTTTCAAGCTTTGAATATATGTCTTTTGTTCTTTTGGGGCTCTTTTCTGTAACGCATAACATCTAGGCCAAGTGTGGCCTATATAGGTCTAATTTCACCCGGGTGCATGTAGATAGCCATGACTCTAGAGTAGGTATTTGCGTCTGTTGCAAAGCAGTCGAGTGGATGCACACTCCTATGCACCAGGGATCTCAATTCCATGCTATTGCACTGCTTCTGGTTTCATGCCAGTCCCATACTAGCTTAGAGGCCATCACTGTGTGGCACATTTTGAAGTCAGTCCTGTGATACCTCCAGTTTTGTTCTTTCGGGGATTCTTCACATAGCATATCTTTTATTTATTTATTTATTTATTTATTTTAGTTTTTTGAGACAGGGTTTCTCTGTAGCTTTGGAGCCTGTCCTGGCACTAGCTCCTGTAGACCAGGCTGGCCTTGAACTCACAGAGATCCACCTGCCTCTGCTTCCCGAGTGCTGGGATTAAAGGCGTGTGCCACCACTACATAGCATATCTTTTAATTGGGAAGTTTAATCCCTTCACCTTTCAGGTTGGGACCAAGATGCAGACACGCCCTCACTGTTCTGTTCCGTCTTCCTAGTTGTACTGCCTGCCCGTGCATTTCCTTTTGTGTTCAGCTGTGTCCTGATGGTCTTCTAGGGAGGCTGGACCCGACTCCCTCCTTTCTCCTTTGTGGCTCTGCTCTACCTTGACCTTTTGCAATCACCTCGGCTTTCCTGATGGAAGTGATTGGCACTATCCTTGGAATCCCTATAAGCATGCGCAGTGGGCCCAAGCCTCTGGTGATGAACTCCTTACGTCTAGTAACTTCTCTCACAGGTTTCTGACACGCATTTTTCTCCATGCCCTTTCACTTCTGACAGGCTGTCTGTAATAGATCTCAGAGATCTGCTCTGTTGAACTTATCTGGAGTCTTTTCATATCAACATTTCATACCAGATTTTACTTTCTTTAAAAAAAAATTGTGTGTGTGTGTGTGCGTGCGCGCCATCATTGATGTGGGCTTCCCCTCTGTATGCTGTTAAGATGTTTTATTATTATTAGTTAATAAAGAAGCTGCTTTGGCCTGTGGCAGGGCAAAATAGAGCTGGGCAGGGAAACTAAATTGCATGCTGGGAGAAAGAAGGCAGAATCAGGGAGACAGATGCCCTGGAACTTTACCGGCAATCCAAGAGCCTCGTGGTAAAATACAAAATAACAGAAATGCGTTAATTTAAGATGTGAGTTGGCTAATAAGAAGTCCAAGCTAGTAGACTAAGCAGTGTTTTAATTAATATAGTTTCTGTGTGACTATTTCAGGACCGTGCAGCCAGGAATGAACAAGCAGCTTCTGCCTACTCCTCATCAATGTATGGGCATATGGAGGTCAGAGGTCAATGCTAGGTATATTTTTGATTGCCTTCCACCTTTAATGAGTTATGCTCTTATAAACTTGGAGCTCAAATCTTTCTGCTAGACCAGTTGCAAGCACCTGGGATTCACTGGTTTCTGCCGCCCAGCCCTGGAGTTACAGATGCATACTCTTGCACACAGCCTTTCTATGGGTGCTGGATATGGCATCTTTAATGTGCATGCTTGGACAAGAGGTCCTTTACTAACTGAGCTATGTCCCCGGCCACCACAGCTGACTGAATGCTAATAAAACGGTCTAGCACAACTGAGAAGCCACCTGCCAGGATTGGTGGCACTGATTGAAGTGAAGGGACTCCAGAATCTTGGGCACCCCGATTCTACTAACCCTTGAAGACTGGGCTAGTCTATATAATTGGTCAGTAGCTTAGTTTCCTGGTCCTGACCATGAGCCTTCCTGGACACTGAAAGTCGGCAGATAAAATCCTTCCATTGCCACTCCATCTCTAGACTTCGTGTTATGAGCATCCAGCTTCTGAAAAGCCTGAGCTCCTGGAGAAATGGTTTCACTGTTCTCCCAAATTCAAAGCTGATGAGAGTTCTCAAGCCTCTAGCCCTGTGTTCTATCTCAGAACATCCTTGGCTATCATTATGGTCACCAGGATCCACTATAACGTTACTCGTCCCTCATCTCCATAGGACTCCACTGTACTTCAACCCAGTATAAATACCAAGGCAAGCCTATTGGTGACCATGACCCCCTGAAATTGATCTGATCATTCAAAGAGGACTTAAATCCTTCTCATGATATCCATTGGTATCAAAATAAAAATATACTGTACAGGGCTCTCTCCTTCATGTCCTTCCCATAGAGGTTGTATTTGCTGGAAAAGTAGTTGAGGATGGCCCTGGTCTGCACCAGTTTCATCCCATCCACCTCCACCATGGGCACTTGTTGGAACATCAGAACTCCATCTTTTAAGAAAAGAAAACAGAGAGAGTTAAGAAAAAAATCTATGGGTTCAGTAGAGATGGGTCAGCAGTTAAGAGCATTGGCTTCTCTTCCAGAGGTCCTTAAGTTCAATTCCCAGCAACCACATGGTGGCTCACAACCACTTGTAATCAGATTTTTTTTTTGTTTGTTTGTTTTCGAGACAGGGTTTCTCTGTGGTTTTGGAGCCTGTCCTGGAACTAGCTCTTGTAGACCAGGCTGGTCTCGAACTCACAGAGATCCGCCTGCCTCTGCCTCCCGAGTGCTGGGATTAAAGGCGTGCACCATCACCACCCCTTCTTGTGCCCTCTTCTGGCCTGCAGGCATACATGCAGGTTGAACACAGTAAAATAAATAAATAAATAAATAAATAAATAAATAAAGCAAGGTTTAGAAAATTTTTAGCTTGGCGCTTTTAATCCCAGCACTCGGGAGTCAGAGGCAGGCAGATCTCTGTGAGTTCAAGGCCAACCTGGTCTACAAGAACTAGTGTCAGGCCGGCTAGGACTGCTTCATGGACATGTCTGTACGGTATTTCCTTCATTGCTAATTGATTAGGGCAGCCCACCATGGGTGGTGCTATTCTTAGGCAGGCATGTCTGAACTACAAAAGGAAGCTAGCTATACAAGCCAGTGCAGCAATCCTCCCGGGGGGGTTGCCTGAGTTCCTGTCTCAGCTTCCTTCAAATAATTTGGCTTGATATATAAGCCAAATAGACCTTTTCACCCAAAGCAGGTCTTGGCCAGTGCTTTATTTTTAAGTTAAAAAAGCTATGTATATAGGTGTTTTGCTTGAATATATATCTATATATCACTTGCATGTCTGTATCTTCAAAGACCAGAAGAGGGCATCAGATCATCTAGAAATGGAGATACAGATACAGTATTAGGAATCAAACCTGGATCCTCTCGAAGAGCAGCGAATGCTCTTAACCACTGGGCCATTTCTCCAGCACTTAGTCAGTATATTATCATGGCAACAGAAAACAAACCAGGATAGTCTCTATACGACCTAGTTTATAATTTACATGATTGCTGTTAGTGACATGAGTCTTGTTCGTCACACAGTACAATATTAACTAGAATTTCCTCTCCTGAAATTCATGGTAGAATTCTCAGTTTAAAGAAAGGTCCATAGTGCTCACAGGAAAACAGTAAAAGGACCATGACTTTCGTGATCTTCTGTGGTTGGTTGGACGTTTTTAAAGAATATTAACCAAGGTTGGCAAGATGGCTTAGCTGGTAATGGCGGTTGCTGCCATGTCTGATAACCTGAGTTTGACCCTTCTGGCTTGTGAGGTTGAGGAATAGAAGAAGCACCCACACAATATCCTCCAGCCTCTACCTGTGCATCCGTAGCATGTGTATGCACACACGTGAAAACACACGAACAAAATAAAAAATATGAAAAAAAATATGGTTCTGATGATGGCACAGGTTCGTTATAACACTACATTTTTTGTGTTTTTCTGGCCTTGAAGTCATTGTTAAATCTCACTCTCAGTACAGTTATATGACCTATAATTCATTTTGTTGTGGATAATAACTCACGAAGCCGTTCGAACCACTTAGAAATATTCAGGTGTGTGTGTACTCGAGACAGATGATGTACCTGAATTCTAATGCTGCCTTGTTATTTCCTCACGCTATGTTTTCATTTCCTTATTTCTTTTTTTTAATTAATTAATTTATTTATTAAAGATTTCTGCCTCCTCCCCGCCACCACCTCCCATTTCCCTCCCCCTCCCCGATGAAGTCCCCCTCCCTCATCAGCTCGAAGAGCAATCAGGGTTCCCTGACGTGTGGGAAGTCCAAGGACCACCCACCTCCATCCAGATCTAGTAAGGTGAGCATCCAAACTGCCTAGGCTCCCCCAAAGCCAGTACGTGCAGTAGGATCAAAAACCCATTGCCATTGTTCTTTAAAGCAACTGAATATTGGTGACTCTGCTCTTTATCTGTCTCTAGAAATTAAAGCTCATCCTGAGAACAATCACTTTAGTATGAAAGGCCGTCATGACAGGCTGTCAGAGACAGATCCCATGCTCTGAGGAGTAGCCAGTATTTGCTACAAATGCAATCAGTTTGGCCAGACATGGGCGGCACATGCCCACGCAATGGCTCCATTCTGGAATTGAGGCAGGAGGATGATAAGTTCATGGCCAGCCTTGGATACACTGCAAACTATATAAAAACCCTCAGTTAGGGAGTTAATGAGATGGCTCAGTGGTTTAGCACTCTTCCAGATGATCCCGGTTCAATTTACAGCACCCATATGTTGGTTCACAACTGTCTGTAACTCTAGTTCTGGGGATCTGATGCCCTCTTCTGGCCTTCAAGAGCAACAGTCATGCTTGTGGTTCAGACATACTTCCACACAAATAAAATAAAAACCTCAAATGCCTTTATACCTTTTATACTTAATATCATATGTCAAATATTATTATATTTGAGCTAGTAGAATCTTTCAAAAATAGAGTCATTCGAAAGAATTACGAGTATTTCTGCATTTGGATGCTCCTGACTGATATGAGGAAACATATGACACAGTCAGTTTTAGTTCCATCTGAGGATGCAAACCTTACCTCTACTCCAGCTGCAGCCAAGAGCCACCGGACAGACTCCATTCTACCCCGGGCCTCATCATAATGGAACACGGGCTTTCCCGCCATGGTAGTAGCTCCTCAGAGTCACTAAGTACAAATAAATGAATGAAAGAATGTACAGAAGCTAAATGTAACCATAATTAGGAATTATGGTTACTAATAAAACCGTACAGAAAAACTGTACTGTTGAAGAAGAAAAGTTAGTTCAGAAGAACTACCTATCGGTTCCCCTCAAGGCTGCTAGGAATCCCGGTCAGACTTTTGATCCATTCTCACCCGCCAAGGACCACCATCTTGAAATTGCACCAAACCACTCCCAAGCCAAACCACTCTTGGAGGATGTAAACTGAGCAGCCTCAAGCCCACAGCGGAGGAGCCTGGGATCTGGCAAGCCTTGAAACCTGGAGACATCACTGACAAGGGGAAGGGGCCAGAACAAGGTCTCTCCCTAGCCCTTTGGCTCCTGTGTCGCTTTGTTCAGAAGGTCTAGCTCAGCTTCACTCTGGCTGGAGACAAAGGCTAATTCTTCTCACTGCAGGAGGGATTCTTTTTCTACCACAACTAGATTTCCCACGTCTACACTGAGTTTTACTTCACAACCTATGAGAAGGGCAGTCCTTACGGTAACTTTATATTGAGGTTAACATGACTGGTTTGTCTAGTGTCTGGTGAGGAACGGGCAGCTTGTCATTTCCATCCTCATTCAATTACTAGAAGAGACACTGGCGTCTCTACAGATAAAATGATGTGGAACACCTTACATTTTCAAATGCACTTCATTTGACACTAACATCTTGGAATTTCCCCGTAAACATAGTTTGCAAGCTCCACATCATTCTTTATTAGTGAACTGGAAAATACACCATAGGTTCTAAGTAGCATTCATGTTTTAAAATCATAGGAAATCTCAAGAGTGTGTCTTGTATGTTAAAGGTAAACAATCTGGGTTCCATTCATGTTGCTACAAGGCACCTATGGTTGGGGGCGAGATCAAAAAAGCACCTTTCACTGGTAGTAGCTGTATGAGTTCACGCAGCTTGTTCTTTCCTGCAGTGCCCCCACACGACTGACTTTCTGGGCCAAGGAGGTAATCTTTGTTTCAGGAGTCTATGCCCATCACTGCAGGATATTAACTAAGCAACCGCCGGCATTATATTGTAGTCTCTCCCAACACTCTTTATGACAGCCAAAAATGTCTACAGCCTTTGTCCACTGTTCTCTTGGTGCAGTGCCTCCCAGTCACTTCCCTTCAGGCCGAGAACCACGGCTCTCTTCTGAGCTGCCCAAGAGAGAGAACAGCACACAGAAAGGAGTCAGAAAGCACCTCAGACTGAGAACAGGCCAGATGGGAAGCAGGCTCAGGCAAGCTGTGTGCAAGATGCAAACATAAAAGGCAAAATCAGTAGCAGACTCAGGCAAGCGTGGATGAGGTGCACACTCGAAAACAAACCACACTTTTGGATTGTTGGGTTGTTCAGTCTTATACACACACACACACACACACACACACACACGCCTCTAATTTACATGCAATCTACTAGTCTTTCTTAAAAGCCCAAAGCCATTTCCCTTCCACAACCCTGTGGGGCATTTCTTATGTATGAAGCAATGATGACGGACAGAGAGAGACACGCCCACCTGATCCTGTTTCTGCACTAACGAGGTTTAAATCTACTCCTGACTACGGACTTGTGTCCGTGTGAGAAAACAGAATGTACCCTGAAGTGGCTGTAGTTTTTCATTCAGAAGTCATCATTGCCGTAGCTTGTCGTAGACGGGTGACATCTGCCAGCGTGAAAATAAAGCCCCAGGCTTTTGGAGGAAGGGAGGATTCTGCCTGCAGGGTCAGCATCATCCGGCACTTTTCTTACCCCTCAGAGGTCAGGCTTCTTATCCTTAAGATTGTCATTGCCCCTCACTGGTGTCTAACAAACCTGCTTGAAAAGTTTGAGATCTGGGTCCGCAGTTGAGAGTTCTTGCTGGTCTTACAGAAGACCAGAAAATAGTTCCCCTATCAGGTGGCCCACAACTGCTTGTAACTGCAGTTCCCTGGGATCCAGTAAACCTCTTCTGACCTCCATGGGCGCCTGCACTCACACCTGAGTATTTACACACACACACACACACACACACACACACACACACACACACACACACGTTATCAGCATCCTGTGCCCTCCAGAGGCACCAGAGGTTATTTGAATTCTGGTTTACCCTATGCAACTCCAAATTACTGTGATTTTTTTCCCCACAAGGTCTGTCTGAGAGTCTGTGATTTTCCTACGTAAGACATAAGTCACATTCTTTCTTCTATTGACCGTGACTCCAAGGCAATACCGACTCTGCTTGACGGCTTACATACCAGGTCAAATGTAAGCATCCTCTCCTATAGCTACTTTCCCCTTGTAACTCCCTATGTACTGAGCTGCAAGGGCCTTAACAAGCTCTAGTTTTGAAGCTGAAGGGTCTGGACCCTCACCCAGCCCCCACTTTGACAGCCCCCCTGGTTTTGGCAGACCAACTGCACCAAGGACCTAGCAAGATGTAAGCCCCTAACTCAGCAGGATGTGCTGAGCCCCCAAACTGGACTGACCCTGCCCTAATTACTGGGAAGAAACTGACAAGTACCCTCCAAGTGGTAAGGAACCAATCAGAAGTAAGCTGGCAAGCTCTGGGCTTGCTTTACTGACAAGGATAGAATGCAGTAAACCCGCCTCCCCAGCCCAGCACACCCCCAACCATGGCCTCCAGTAGCAACCTTTCCACAGCTCCTCTTTGGACCCTCAATATTGAAGGAGCAGGAGGAGGAAGCAGGAGGAAGACATAGTAATAGAAAGAGAACACAGGGAAGTTGATAAGCAGATGGAGGAGGACTGGAAAGGTGGACGGGAGGAAGAAGAAGAGAAAAGTAAAGGCCCCTGAGAGGGCTTAGTTGGTACAACTGCTTGGCCCCCAAGTCAGAACACCAGCATTCTGCCCTCGGATCCTATGGTGGAAAAACAGAACAAACTACCCAAAGAGGTCCTCTGCGTACATATGGGTGGTGGCTCATGCGTGCCTACACTTACACACATAGTAAGCAAACACACACAAATAAAGCGTAAGGGTACCACTACAAAGTTCTGACAAACTCCAAAGATGTGATCTAATAGCGTAAGAAACAAAGGCAGCATCGTACTAAGCGAAGTAACTGACCACACCGAGGCAACCAATCAGCCAATTGACTACAGCCTAGCTAGTTCTAATAATCAGAGTTTTGCTTTGATTACATTTTTTTTAAAAGAGAAGAGACAGTTTCTACTTTGTCCTCACTTGAATATTGGCATTTCCTGCATGCAGTCCATATTTCGATTGTGCCCTGCAGACACGCACATCAGGCTGGGTGCACACACCACAAGACTGTTACTCCAGATTGCAGGTGACGGCCCATTTACTTTTATCAACCCATCACATTCTCTGCCCTTGTTTTCTAAGTCTCTGGCTGTTGCTTTCCTTTAAAAACTAATAAAGGAGTCCTAGAGAGATGGCTCTGCGGAGCACTTGCAGCCCTTGCAGAGGACCAGCTTTGAACGCCAGCACCCACATAACGAGACAGGGGTTCCCCAAAACACCTCCAGCTTGGAGGGATCTAACGCCTTCTTCTGGGCTCCCACCCAGTCTCAGGCACCCTCACACACAAATAAATACAATAAACCCTTTAAAGACGAGTCTAAAACGCACATGCTGAGGGCAGCGATTATTGTGAAATGCTAAGCTCTACCCTTTCTCATAATGAGACTAGAAGACATAGATTAAGATAAAGGTTAGGGTTTAAAGAAAACGGCTACCCAGCTCTCTAATTTGCTAAGACATTAAGCAATCAAGGGCTCAAAACTTTATTTAAATTCTCCTAAACCCTAGGAGCTCCGGACTTTGCCAAACCCTGCTCCCAAAAGAAACTGAAAGTATCTCCCACAACACAGAAAACCCCACGGTTAGGTGAAAATTTTCCCATGCTTAAAAGCCTTCAAAGCAGGAAAAAGAGAAAAATCAGAGAACCGAGAGTCGTGCATCACTGAGCATAACGCGGAAGTGGCTCTCAGGAAGTCACAACTGCTACGCTGCCTACGAAGGTCCTGCCCACTACTAAGTCTGCCAAGTGTCCTAACGGGGGAGGGGCTCAAGGAGGCCAGGCCACCCACGCCAGGCTTTCTGCTTAAACCCGGTAGATCACTCACCAAACCAAACCAAAAAGATACAAAAGAGGGATAAGAACTTGGAGACGGGGGTGGGGGTGGGGGGTGAGGTGGGGTGGGGGAGGAATGGATGCGTATGGGTTACATACGCATATGAAATTAATAAAGAATAAATTAAACATTTTCTAATTTTAAAAAAAGCTCAAGCGTTACCGCAGGCCCTGTCCTCGTCCCTCCCACTCTGTGAGCAGGAAAAGAAGGGGCTGCAGCTCTGGGGAATGAGGGGTAAAAAGCAAGAGGACGAGGCCCATTGCCTCGGGAGACGCAACCCGAGGTCTGTAACTTGGCTGCCAGTGTTTTCCAGATTCCTCTGGCATCCTCTCTGTTGCCCAAGTGTAGGAACAAGACTTCAGTCCACCGTGCCTAGCCAATTCTTGTGAGGAAGTCACAGAAACCTAAGGGCCAGTAATAAGGATAATAAAATTTCTCAGACTATTAGACTCCCATTTCCTCATTTTCTATAATCTTCTTTTTTAACATTTCTGTAAATCTGTTGTCTAGGCACGTCCACAAGAAGGCGCGGCGTGAGTGTAAAACACTCCTTCCCTTATGAAGGACGTGAAGCTAAAGTGCTTTTCTTAGCAGCTAAAAGGCAGGATATTCAGACCTGTAGGGGAACCGATTCTGCCAGTACTTACCTCGCTAGAAAATTCTCTGCTCCCGAAGCAGGAAAGAGACCCAAGTGCTTTTGTTTATAACTTAGTGTGAGTTCTTCTGAGAGAAGGGGGAGGAGTCCCGTTAGGGAGAAGCCACACCCACAGCGTTCGAGGCTGGAGGCGGGGTTGGGGTGTGTGTGTGTGGGGGGGGGGGGGGGTGGCCCGTGGTCTCCATTTGCAATTAGAAAGAAAAACCGTTACGTCATTCTAACTCTGCAAAGCAACGGGTTAATATTTTGCTTTTCAAGGTTGACCACTAAATACTGTAGATAATCTCAGCTACTTTTTTTTTTTTTTTTTTTTTTTTTTTTTTTTCCGAGACAGGGTTTCTCTGTGGTTTTGGAGCCTGTCCTGGAACTAGCTCTTGTAGACCAGGCTGGTCTCGAACTCACAAAGATCCGCCTGCCTCTGCCTCCCAAGTGCTGGGATTAAAGGCGTGCGCCACCAACGCCCGGCAATCTCAGCTACTTTTAAGCTGCCTTTGGGTGGCGATTGGGCTTGGGAACAAAGGCAGATACAAAATTTCCACTCTGAAATTAGCTTTGTAAGTCAAGAAGTCACAGACACAGAGAGTTTTGTTCCAGGGCCGGACAGGTTCTCAAGTGACACTGGCTTGGTTTGCAAACCCATGTAAGCCGCCAACATTAATGAGAACTGAGGGTTTTGTTAGAAAGGATATTAACACAGCTGCTTCTCTTTCTTAGGAGAAAGATAAGCAGGAACGGGACAACTCCGGGTGGATGTGTGTTTACTAAGCCTATGCCAGAATCCAGCTCAAGGCCACATGGACTATCATAGGTCTGCAACTAGGCAGTTCTGTCAGCTTGTGCAAGTCACTGGCAGTGATTTTTGTGTAGCAATTCACCCCATGTATAAAAACCTTTAGAAAATGGTTTTGCTTTTCTTTCCATCATCCTGCATTTATTTTCACTTTTTTAGTATCATCTCAGTAGTTAGCATTTCCTGACACTTGGAGGAAATCACACTGTTCCAGAAAGATTCATTCCCCAGGATTCACATCCCAGGGAGTAGTGAGAGATACGAGGTTCCTGGAGGCTGCAGAACATAAGACTTTAGGATAGATTGGTGACAGATAGATAGATAGATAGATAGATAGAACATAGATAGATAGATAGATAGATAGATAGATAGATAGATAATAGATAGGTAGACAGACAGACAGATAGATGAGTCAGACTCGGGGCTAAAAAAGACTTGTTTGGATAAATCAGTCCACAGAGGGATGCTTGGTGATTTCCATGGTGCAAATATGCTCTTTCTGCTAGGTTGGAGGGAGTCCTCAATGAGAAATTATTTGTAATGAAGAAAGTCTTCAGACGTTAAACTCTGGGTATACTGGGATTTGTTCTTGTTGCTCTTTTCTTTCTAGGAGCACAATGTAAAACACTGTCTCACTAAAGAATCCATTTTTTCTTGCTGATTATTTAATCCAGCTACTTGAGCATGTTAAGCACATATTCTAACCATTTCCAGATTAAGAGCATATATGCATACTACCCCCTCAGGTGTATGTGTACATGGTGTCACCCACAGACACACTCACATCTATATACTTTAGCAGAATAGACTCTTCATAATATGTAAGAGTTTCTTTTATTTAGTTTAAGAGTCTGGGTTTACCATGGTGGGTGGAGGTGGGGTGGTGGAAACTGTGTTTTGTATTTGGCCAGGATTTAAGTTGGAAAAAGGTAACTTAACCCCCACAGACATAAATAAGCCTCTCACTGGAAAAAGGCATAAAGAGGTTTGACCATTGTTATCAGGGGATGCGGGGTCTCATTTTTCTGGGTCGTAGACTCATAGTTAAAGAATTTTAAAACCGAGGGTCTGTGAGATTACTCAGCAGGTAAGTGCTCCTGTTGCCAAGCCTGAGAGCTTGGGTTTGATCTTAGAGACTTACATTCTAGAAGTAGAGAACTGACTCAGAGGGTCCTTGGACCACCACACACCTGCCTACCCATCCCCCACAACAAATACATGAATGAATAGATGAAACAGTACTTAAAAATAAACTCAGAAGGAAACTTAAGGGACTGTTTGACTGGAGCTTGAGGTAAAACAACAGGACAGGCAATTGGAGCTCTCAGAAGCTGCAAGAGGAGGGAGAGGAAAGAAGTCATGCTTTCAGAGTTAGAGGTCAGAAAGGCAGACTGGCTCAGAACGCAAACCTACAAACATCTTTGATGTGAGTTAGGGATATGACTCTCTCCTCAGAATCAAAGAGAAAATGCCAGTGTCAGGGAAAGCAGTCATAGGACTTGGGCCAATATTCAAAAGGAGAGCTAAAAACTGAAAAGACAAAGGTGCCCTATGAGTTCAGGTGTTGCACTCTGAGCAAAGTTGCCTAATAATGATAGTTAAATAAGCAACAGATGTTGTGTTGGGAGTTTTTGTTGTTGTTTTGTTTTTGTTTGAGAAAGGGCTCATTTTGGCTTGCAGTTTGATGAGACACAGCCTACCACAGAAAGGCCTAGGGCAGGTGGCTACTTGGGGGCAGAAATGCGCAGGTGGAACTCTACTTCCTCACCTTGTAGAAGAGCAGGAAGCAGACAGGTTGTAAGAAGCTCAACATGGGACTCTAGTGGCCCCTTCCTCCACCGAGTTTCCTCCTTCTCAGTGTCCTATGCCCTTCTAAAACAGCACCGTCAGCAGAGGACCAGATGTGCCTATTGGGAAGCTTTAATGCTAGTAATACTGTTCTAGTATTTCTTTATATCCTACTGGCCAACAAATCAATACTCACATGTCTACAACAAGCTACAAGAAACTTAGGAAATGCCAGTGGTGGTGCATGCCTTTCATCCTAGCACTGGGGAGGCAGAGGCAGGCAGATCTTTGTGAGTTCTCGGGGTCTACAAAATGATTTCCAGAACAGGCAAGGCTGCAGAGAGAAACCCTGTCTCAAAAAACAAACAAAGAATTAAAGAAAATAAAAAGAAAGAAACTTGGGGAAGGTAATCATTAGCTTCAAGGGGTAAGTGCCATGGTCAGTGAATCATAAGAGGCCAGTCTTGTCGCAGCTGGGCTCCTAGAGACCTGAGGGCAGGTAGGAAAATCATGAGATCCTTGAGTTTAGGATTCAGGACACTACTGCAGCAATTCCTGCAACGTTTTCTCATGCAAAGCGAGGCAACAAACCAATACTAAGTTAAATTTATCTTTTTGACCATATGGACCTTACCACTACAATTCCCCTTACCCTCATTGTCATCTGTCTCAGAATGGCAGGTGGAAGGGCCCACACACCAAAGCCACACAGTCTCACATTCTCCTTGGATGTGCTAGACTGACGATCAGTTCAGAACAACAAACCACTAGCACAATGTATTCTTCTCTGCAGAATGAAGAGCAAACAACCTCTTATCATACAAACTGTGAAGTGCCTTGTCAAAGTCTTCTCATTTGAATTGGAAGAATGTATTTTACCCTCCATTAAATGATAGTTTATTTATCGAATAAAAGTATGCACATTTTCTCCATGTAGGTAGAAAAGGGCAAATTTATTAAACCAAACAAGCCACAAGAGAGGCAGGCGGATCTCTGTGAGTTTGAGACCAGCCTGGTCTACAGAGCTAGTTCCAGGACAGGCTCCAAAGCCACGGAGAAACCCTGTCTCGAAAAACCAAAAAGAATAAAAAAAAAAAGAAAGAAAGAAAAGAAAAAGAAAAAATAGTGCCAAGAGCAGAGAAGATGAACAGCTATGGTGATCACACATAAAAGACTAAATAAAAAAAGAACCTGCCACTTCAATAGTGACACCTTAGCTGAAATATTCTAAGGAATGTCACCATGTAGATTGACCCATTTATTTCTTAGAGAAGAAACACTTAATGGACTCTAATTCACATTTAAAATATATGTAAGATTCATTTAAATCATGTTTGTACCTTAACTTTTCTGGCAAGACTTGAATGAACATCTCGTTGTGTGGTATCCACCAGAGAAGAATTCTCAGACACGGGTTTAAACCAATAGAAAGTCTTTGTTAGCTGGCCAGGGACTACACTGGGTGCAGGCCTGACCTTTTCTCAGGGTGAATGTTTAAGGAGAAAAAAAAAAATATTTTCCTACACTCACCTCCTGGGTTGACACACTTCAGTTAGCAAGAACAGTTAGTCTGAAACAGAACTAAAAGCCAGAAAGCAAGGTTAGTACATGTAGAGACATTCCCCAGAACAATGGGCTTTGATGGGTTAAGCATTTGTTTCTGTTTTAACGGATATGTTGTCTATGTTTTGAGTTTTATGGCCTGAATGGTGCTTCTTCCATCCCGGAGTCAGTTCTGCTAAGGTCTGGGGCCTTGTTTCATCCTCACTACAGATAGAGCACTAACGATAGACCAAAGCAACAATCAATACACCAGCATCTAACTTAGTGAGCCACCGAGTCTACCACTGGACTTTCTTACATGGGTTATTGTTTAATTACAGGATTTTACGTATCTTCAAAGCAGTCGCTTCACATCAAAATCCCACCCCATCATGGGTGATGACCTCATGGAAGGTGCATGGAGGAGTCCCTCTTTCAGCCAGCCTTCTACTTTTAGATACCCTGGCACCTACAAAGATCACTGCAGAGTCCTGTCCACACACCGAAGAAGAGGATGTGACCTGCCCCACCAAAAAAGATACTGAGCTATGTGGCTAACATATACTAGAATAATGGGTCAAGCAGTGATATAATGAAAAAAGAAAGATCACTACAGCTGGGGGAGCAGTGATGACTGCAATCCCAAGAGAGGGACCTGCGATCCTTCTCCCTCTTCTACTAGGGAGTTGTCTTAGTTATGGTTTCTATTGCTGTGAAGAGACACCATGACCACGGCAACTCTTTTAAAGGAAAACATTCAATTTGGATTGGTTTACAGTTTCGGAGGTTTGTTTTGTCTATTATCACCATGGTAAGGAAACATGTCTACACAGGCAGACATGGTCCTGGAGAGGAAGCTGTGAATTCTACATCTGGATCCTCAGGCAGCCAGAAAAGACTGTGAGCC